CTAAAGGGGGCAAAAAAAACTATAATAAGTTTTGGGCTGTTTTCTCGAAATAAAATTAATTTTGCGGTCCTTTTCGAATTTTTATTACTTTCTATAAGTTTGCTTAGGTTCACTTTGGTGTTTTTTTTAATTACAATTAACGTTACCATGAGTTGATGCTAATTGGACCATAACATGCCATCTATTTAGTATTATTAATTAGATTCAATATATATATTGCAAGTTGTTGACAAAGAAAAAACACGTTTTTTTTGTTGCTAAAATACAAAGAAAAAGAAAAAACACGGTCTTTCGGTTGTTTATATAGTTTAAATGTGTTATATATCATATGTTACATTTATTTAACTATATGACTAATCGTGCATAAAAAAGTTGGGAGTAAGCCATATTCATTGGATTTATATATATATATAGAATTAGTCATCTCTTTAGGAGATTATTCAAATATGATCTATAAGATTAATCAGTCGGTCGATTATTAAAAGAAATGATTTTAACATTAGTAAGCTGATTGGATCGTGTATGAAACTATGAATAGAAATGGGGTATGCTTTTCTCACGCGCCGGTCCAAGAATCTTTGGATCGGACAAAGACAGGAAGTGAAGGTAGTTGTTACACGTTTCCTTACCAATATTAGATTCTCTTCCAAGATCCCAAAGAACTCGGAAGTTAAGTAAAGCTATTCCACACATCTTGTAAAATCCTTCCTCTTTTGATTCCCTTTCCTTTTTTGCCACCAATCATCATTTTATTCAAGAAAACAAATCTTAACGCATTTTTTTTTAGTTTATCACAATTAGGGTTCAATATACCTATTTTCCACTTAACTTTATGTTGAACTTTTTAATCATCTATTGATGTTTTTGGGTGTGTGTAAGAGCAATTCAATTTCCGGAGCCATCTTTTAGTACTTTACGAATGCAATTGAAAATAGGAAAAAATGAAAGAGAATTGTGTGCTTCGTTATCGTGATATAAAGTGAGCATGGAGAATAATTGCTCCTAAAAATATCAAGCAATTATTTGTAGATTCAACTCATTTATTTGTTATGGGCGGCTCAAGTGATATTCTTCTAGCGAGTCATTGTGAAGGATGAAAAACGTTGTATGGTCTCTCTGGTTTAAT